CCCTCCTCCTCCTCCTCCTCCTCCTCCTCCTCCTCCTCCTCCTCCTCCTCCTCCTCCTTCATCGTCGTCCGTCTTTCCCCCTCCTCTCTCTTCCTCGACAACTTCTCCAACTTTGATAAGCATTCTGTCACTGGATGCCCCGCTCCTCTTCGCTTTTTCCTCCTCCTCTTCCCTTCCCCTCCACCTCCCCCTCCCCATCCTCTCCCTCCTTGCCCCCTTCTTACCTTGTGGTACATCCCTCCATCATCAGCCATCACTCTCAGCCAGAAGTCGGTCTCCCACTTGATCTCGTCCAGCAGGTCGGGACGTTGTTTCCGCTCTCCGGAATGTCCCACACGTCATCAGCAAACCTCTGAGGATCGAGATCGAGCCCGAGCAGGAGGTACCACAGCATCTCTCCAGCTGACGGCATGTACTTGTTGAAGTCGCCGGCGTCATGGTGCCCTCCATGCATGTCCCGAGTGAGCGGCGTCGTCCTCCAGTCCTTCCAGCTTGCCGTCAGCTCTTCCCCAGCATACAGTGGGGAGGAGGCGATAGACTCGTGGTAGACTCCGTCGCTGACCTGAGCTCCCTCCTCCTCGCTGTCGTGGAGGTGACAGGCGGGTCGCTGGAACCTAGGGTCCGCAAAGGGAGGAGAGACCCCTCCTGCATGCCCGCACCTCTGGTAGAAGAGCGCTCGAGCTGTGGTGTAGGCCGCGAAGTCGAGGGAGTTGACGTTGACGGAGAAGACCTCGGAAGAGCCGAGATGGTCGACGAGGACGCGGAAGAAGCCTTGGGAGGAGAGGGAGGAGAAATCAAACTGGTACACGTCCTCTCCCGACAGGTGCCAATTCGCCGCTACGAGCTTCAGCGGCACCTCCAGCACCGTCTCGAGCGTATCGTTACGCACGACCCGTGCAGTGGGAGGGTCGAGAGGAAGGCGAACCGGTCCCTTCTGCACCGTGCAGAGGGCAATGAGGGGGTCGTCGGGGAACAGGGAGAGCTCAGTCCACGAGGGGTAGGCGACGTCCCCCGGCCAGGAGAGGAGCTTTCCTCCTTGCCCGATGGCGAGGAGGGAGACGCAGCCCTTCCTCATGGGGTAGTAGCCGCAGTACTCCATGGAGACTGGGGAGATCGAGAGGATCGCACCGTTACCTCCGATCCCTTCAGCCTTCCGCTGCCAGGACTGGACCGTCACGCAGGCCTCGTCAGCGGCGTTGGGCACCAGGAGCACGATTGAACCGTCTCCTGTTCCAGCCCAGATGTCCCTCGTTACGGGATGGGAGAAGAGGCTGGTGATGCTCGTGTGCCGGAGCTCCAACATGCGACAAGAGATCCACTTGCCGTAGCTTAGGAAGGAGACGAAGCCACCGTCTCCTCCTACGATCACCTGCCCCATCCTAGAGTCGATGCTTCTCAGCGTCTCGTTGCCCAACTGGAGGAAGCTGACCCCGTCGTTCTCGGTCCACCACACCACCCGTCCTCCTTCCCCCACCGCCACCATCTGCAGCGTCTTGTCATGTACGGGTAGTGGTCCCACCCACAGAGCGAGCAGGGTTTCGCTGCATCCGACGTCCATCGCCTTCCACGTCCTCCTCCTTCCCGGAGGACGCTGTAGGATGGTGCAGTTTCGACCAATCGCAAAGCAGAAGCCGGAGATGCCGCACTTGACGTCGAGGAGGTCGGAGGAGGAGGGAGAGTCTGCTGCTTCCCATACCTCATCGTGGAGCTCGAGAATCAGCCCTCCCTCCCCCACCAGCACAGCATGGTCCTCCCGTATGGCAGCGACTGCAGAGATCTTGCGGGCGTGCGACGACTCCGTCCGAGCGAAGGGCAAGGAGGGTCGAGGAGAGCGGAGGACGGCACCTGACCTGCTGACCGCAAAGATCTGGCCTCCAAGGTCGCCGATCCATCCCCCCACATACCCGATCTTGCGGGAGACGGGAAGGTAACCTTGCATGTTGACCTTGACCATCCTTGAACTCTGTGTCCGGCTCCACGTCAGCGTCCTCGTGAACGGGAGCATGCGGTTGCCGGACTCGTCCGACAGTCCCGAGATGGAGAGATCAACCCTCTCGAGCTCCGGGAGGGAGAGGTTGAAGCGCAGGTAGATGAGGTAGTCATTCTCAGGTGAGAGGCTGCCGGGGGAGAACCCGGTGAAGCTGTAGGAGATTCCGACCTCCAAGGGCCGGGCGGACCAGCTGGGCGAGGAGGTGGAGGAGGACTGTAGCTTGTAGGTTGTCAAGTTCTTGACCTGCCCGATGTCATACGGCTCGTTCATCTGGATCATGATTATCGAGCTGGTTTCCACCTGGACCTTAGTTGGGTAAGGAGCTGTCTCGTCGAGGACGGTGATGTCGTCTGCAGGAGAACTCAGCACCTCCTCCTCCTCCTCCTCCTCCTCCTCCTCCTCCTCCTCCTCCTCCTCTCATAATCGTCGTCGTCTTCGTCACATCATCCAATCATCATCATCATCATCATCATCATCACATTCATCATCATCATCACATTCATCATCACCATCACCACCATCATAATCCCACTCTCCCTCTTAAACACTGTACGATTCACATACCGAGCAAGTAGTGGTTGCACTTCCCGTAGGAGCCCGGGTATGCAAAGTTACACCCTACCGACGTGTTCAGCAGGACGATAGTCTCCACTCCTCCCAGCTTCCAGTCAGGAGTTCGCAGGTCGTCGAGAGGGATCCGAACTCTCTTCCACTCTCCGTCCACCAGGCCTCCAGCAACGTACTTTGACAAGTTGACGTCCCTGCTGGACCTGTCCCACGTCGACAGCCGGAGCACGGGCTGAGCTGGGTCCCTGTCGGGACTTCGAATGAGGAAGGAGAGAGCGTCGTGCTTCGACAGGTCCCTCCTACCAACTCCCGTCCCGCAGTAGAGCCGGAGGGAGCCGACATGCCAGTGGTCAGGAGAGAAGAGAAGCGCCCTTCCTCCTCCGTATCCTCCTTGCTGCACCTCCCTCCCGAAGAACGCGCAGCCTGCCCGCGCATTGACGGCAAGAAGCCTCCTCGACGTCCCGCTCTCCACCGCCATGAAAGTATGGCTCCAGTGCCAGCTCAGCACAGTCCCACCTGCTCCTACCACCACTGCCGTCCCCACCTTGTCCCCGTCCACAGCAAACAAGTCCTCCTTGGTGGGTACCTCCTCCTTGAGCCAGTCGCTTCCGTTCCATCGCAGCACGGTGCCATTTCCTCCCACTGCAAACGCTTGCTCGGGCCCCTTGACCCATACGCCGAAGAGAGTATGGGAGACTGAGGGGCGAAGCTCCAACCACGAGCCGCTAGTGAGCCTTCGGAGGAGGGTGCCGTGTACTCCGACAGCAAACACCATCTCCTCGATGCCAAGGAAGTCGTCGGGCACAGAACTGGCGACAGAGAGGAGGAGAGAGGAGACCGGAGACGTTTCCTGTATCCACTTTGACCCGTCGAACATCAAGATCGTCCCGTCTGCTCCGACTACCCACGCTCGATTGTCGGCCGTAGCTGTCACGCCGTGTAAATCTGGGTGTGAAGACGAGGAGGAGGAGGAGGAGGAGAGCCAGCCTGTACCCGGAGAGTACTTGAGAATGACGCCTCTAGCCCCGACCGCCCATATGGTGTTGGCGGTGATGGCGAAGATGGAGTTGAGGGTGGCGTTGGTGAGCCCGTGCTGCTCGACGCTCCACTGCAAGGTGTGGGGGTCAAGCTTGGCGATCAGTCCCCGCTCGCCGCATCCCCACAGCTGAGCATCGGAGATGCAGAACGGGTGGAACATGGGACGGACTGCGCTGCACGAGGCGAGCAGAGGCCTCGTCATGGAGCGGAAGGTCAGGGGGGTGAAGGAGGCCTGCTGGGCTGTGAGCTGAGAAGGGTGTGAAAGGGGCAACAGTCACCTGAGAGACGTTGCGAGCTATCCCGTCTTTGAGCAGGAGGATGTCGCTGCAGAGGCTGGATGGGGAGGAGCGAGCCGAGAGCTTCACGTTCCTCACCAGAATGTCCTCGCACGCAGCTGGCCGATAGCCGGACGGGGCGACCGAGCAGGCGGTCGATGTGTTGCCGATGGACAACAGCTCGACGTCGAAGAGCCTCCAGTCACCCACCGCAAACTCCAGCAGGGGGATGACAACCTGCCTCCACGTCCCGTCCACCGCTCCTACCGCCACCTCCCGCCCCTGGCTCGAGAACGAAGAGAACTTGAGTGTAGGGTACGCGGGCCCCCCAGCAGAGCCCTTACGGATGTCCAGCTGGAGGGTGTCAAACGAGCACATGTTGACTCGGCCCCTCCCTCCGCAGTAGAGTCGGAGGGAGGGCGTGTAGTACATGTCCCCCCGGAAGCGGAGGGCTGGAGTGCTCCCCCCGCCCTCTCCTGGTACCTCGTCTCCCTTGTACAGGCACACGCCGCTCGTGTGAACTCCGAGGAGGCGCTGGGCCCGGGGGAGGCTCATCACTACCGTCCTCCCGCTCACCTTAGGGCCAACCTGGAGGACAGAGCCGTCGGCTGCTCCTATGATGACGTCAGAGTCAGGGGAGGCAGATATGGAAGTGAAGCTGCTGGTGCTAGCGAAGCTCCACCGGCTCCATGCTGCTCCGTCTGACTTGAGCACGACACCGTCGTCCCCGACAGCCCACTGCTCCGTGGAGCTCAGCGCGACGATGCCGCGCAGTGAGGACGAGGTTGAGCTGGCAAGAGTGACCCATCCTCCGGAGCCCAGCCGGTAGATCCCTCCCCCTCCCCCACACGCGAGCACGCTCTCCGTGCTCAGAGCATGTACGTCAAAGAGTGGTTGCGAAGTCACGAACTGCACAGTCCAGCTAGCCCCGTCGAAGAAGAAGATGATCCCCCCGCTGCTGGACTTCTGCTGGCCCACGACCCATCCGTGCATGTCATCCGCAAAGGAGACCGAGTACAAGTCGCCCTCAGCTGGGAGAGGCACTGGGGTCCAGTTCCAGCTGTCCTTGTCACCTCTGAGCAATGTGGTGCCGTGCCCGACCACGTGGAGGGACTTGAGGGAGGAGGAGGCGGAGATCTTGTTGAGGCGAGGGGAGGACGGGATGCGGGAGGAGGACCACGAGTTGTCCAGGAGGTCAACCTTGAAGATCGTCCCTAGCTGACCGCAGGAGATAACCGTCGTGTCAAACACGATCACGTCGTTGAAGGTCTCGTTGATCCCAGTGAAGCCGAAGGCCGTAGAGGTGACAACCTGCTGGGTCCCAGGTAGCAAGCAGCTCTTGACGTACAAGTTCCCGCTGGTCATGTTCCCCCAGATCAGCCGCTCGACATTTCCCAGGTCCCAGCCGTTGGACAGGTCCGTGAGAGGGATCACCACCTTTCTCCAGCTCGAGTCCACCTTGCCCCCCTCCACGAACAAGGCGATCGACACCTGCTCCGAGGATCGATCCCACGTGGAGAGCTTGAAGGTCGGCCAGACGTCTGTTCCTGCTCCTGCTCGCACGAGGAACTCCAACGTCTGGAAGCCCATCCGAAAGTCCGTCCTGACCCCTCCGTCGCAGTAGAGGTTGAGGGAGGGAGAGTGCCAGAAGTCCGGCTGCAGCCTCAGGAGCGGCGCTCCATCCTCCATGATCTCGTCCCCGTAAAACAAGCATCGCTCGACGGTGAAGAGAGAGGATATCTTGCCGCAGCTCCTCGGGAGACTTTCCTTGACGAAAGTCAGTCCGTCTGTGGAAGAAAAGATCTGCCCGGTCTCGTCTCCAATGAGGATGCCTTGGTTGTTGTTGCTGCCCACGTAGACGGAAGTGAAGTTTGTGTTGGCATTCACGCTCACCCTCCGAAAACCTGCTTGCAAGTTGTCCTGCAAGCATGGGCTCACTATCACGTGGAATAGAGGAAAACAGAGCG